CCCGCCTCCCCGCGACGGGACCGCTGTGATTTTCGCTCTCGGGAGTTGGGGAGCGCCCAGGGATGCTCCGGGGCCGCCTCCCCCCCCCAGCTTCCAGCCCCCGAAAGTCCTTTAGCGAGGAAAAAAACCCCGGGACCGGGGAGGGGAGAGCGCGATCGCTTTGCCGGGAAGGCGAAGGCGCTGAGCAGAGCGGCGGGACATCGGGTTTAGAGGATTTTCTGCCTCGCAGGGCTCAGCCTCCCCCCGGCAGCTCCCAACTTCGCTCCTTGGGATGGGGGGAGAGGGGCGAGGAAGAGGAGAGGAAAACTCCCGCTCGGTCGCTGCGGGGCGGGGGAGAGCAGTCTGGGTGGATTTTGAAGGCAGCGCTGCTGAAGGAAGACGAGAAACTCCTTCACCGAGTGTACTTTCTGGACTTAATTGCAGAGCAGCTCAGTTGTTGCTCAGCGTTGTTGCTTTAGTGCAATACGGTGTTAATCCAATAATAATAATAATAATAAAAAAAAGAATCAGCTAAGTCAAGATACAATCTAATTTTGTGTTTTTAATACTCTGGCTATCAGTCCCCAGTGATTGCCGAGTACTCTTCAAAGCAAGCAAAGAGCATTGATTCTATTTGTTCCCATGAACTGCAGTTTCTTAATAAGATCAAGCGAAGATTTATTTTCTAAGAATCAAACCAAATCAAGCAAGGCAAAACCTTGGATTTGGAGAGTCCCTCTCCCCCGTTTGCACGGTGCTGGGTGCTTGCAGAGCAACCCGGTGCGCCTGTTTCTGCGAAGGGACTGTACCAGCACCACAGACTTCGCAGGGAACCAGCACCCCTGGCTGACTGACAGTAAATACATTTTATTTTTGTTTCCCTGGGAATCTATGATATTTACCCAGCATAACAAGAAACTAATAGATATTATAGATCCTTTCTTCCTGGGTTTTTCCCCAACAGCCATTCAAGTGCAAAATATAATTGTTAAGGCTATGAAAATAGATCCATAAACTCAACAGCGCTGGAGTCCTCATTAAAACTACCCTGCTTGCTTTCTGTACAGTACTGGAGTCTCGCGCTCTCCGCTGTTATTAGGCACTTGGCTGTGACCGGTTTGATGTAATAATTAGGAACTGACTTGTTAGAAGTGAAAAGACAGCTCTGATGTCAGCGGGACTTACAAACACTGTGTCACACCGGCTTATTATTTTTACTACATTTACTCATAATGTAAAAATAGCAGCCAGTCTATTCTTTCGTTGGGAGTTTATTCAGGTCCAACGCAGCTATAATAGGCTGCTCTGAGAGCTGGCGGTGAAGCATGAGAGATAGCTTCTCTTTTCTGAACTCATTCATCTCAATCAGCAATCCTTCAACCAAAAAGCGGGGAAAGGGAGATGGTAGCACAGCGATGTGAAGCCCCTGAACGTGGATCGATGCATCTGCTAACCTGGAGTTTGAGCTTTCTGAGAAAGCAAACCCCAAGCATGCTGCAGAAGCAGAGATCCCTAAATTCTGGAAAAAAAGTTGGGAAATCAAATAGAAAGGGAATGATCTGGAGATAAGTTTCTGTTCTTGATACGTGCCTCCTGCCTTCTCTTATGAGATCTCCCTCCTGGGTCTAATGCTGAAAGGGTTGACTTCCCCCCCTCCCACCCCCCCAGTTGTCATTTTGTTTTGTAATAAATTAAGGTTTTTATAGCTCTACTGGAAAGACAACAAAATTGCAGAAATGTTGCTCTAACCTGAAATTAATACAGGGAAGGTCATTGCTCTTTGTATTAGGTGAACCTTAAATGTTATTAGGACTTTAAATTGTTTTTTATTAAATATTATTGTTCAGATAAATCATATGTGGGGATGCTGGACAATGTATCTGTCTCCCAAGCTGTCTTACTTATTTTCTTATCTTTTTAAGACTATCAATTTGTCTGTCTGTCCCTGCTCTGTGTCTGCATATTCTCCATCTTCTAATGACTTGTAGCTGTTTCTTAATATTATTTGAAGACCCATTAGAGCTCTTGTTGTCCAGCTGCTGTTACAAACCAGATGATACCTGAAATGGGGCAGCGCTCCATCTCCCAAACAGCAGAAGAGCCATAAGCATCTTACTATGGATTTCTTTTTATTAAAAGTTGTATATCTCCCTTTTACAAACACCTGGCTTTTGGCTTGGGAAGCCCAGCTGAGGGCTATGTCTCCTGGGGGACCCCTGTTCCTACAAGTCTTGTTGCTCCAGCTGCCCCCCCTTGCTCCCAGCTCATTTGTCTTTCAAATTTTTGCAGGTGCAGCCTGCTAATGAACTCTCCCTTTGCCCCGATCATGAAAGAGAGAGGAGACCTCAGGTAGCAGCATGGCTTGCAGCTGAAGGCTTGGGGAACTTGATGCCCGGTTGCCAAAAGGCAGAGTCAGACTGAAATCTTTGCCTGCAAGTGCCTCACCACCGCTGAGGGACACAGAGGGAGAAGCAGCAAGGCCAGCGCTGCTCCTGGAAACCCACTGACCGCCCAGCATCCTACTGGGGCCACTGCGGATCTTGCCACCCAACACGTTCATGTTGGCACAACCGTCCTTTGGGAGAAAGGAATTTTAGCTCCAAAGAGTCTCTGTTGTCAGAGTTGTACTGATGACCAGATGCTGTATTTATTTCATGTATTAATGTTCAAAAGCCCCAATAATTATTTAAGGCAGACCACAGTTTAAGGTACTTTGCACAGCGACGCGTTTGCAGCAGACAAGACAACTGAGAAAAACCTGATCCAGCACCATCTCACAGCCTCTCCAATTTACTCCTATCAAATTTCATCAGCGACTCAGAACTTGATCTTTTTATTGATTGACTGGAGTCACCTCTAGATATTTTCATGCTGATTTGGAAGCCCTTTCATACAATAAAAGGGGGGAAAAATGAGGTTAAAGAAGACTTTTGACCACTGATCAGCAACTCCGGCCAAAACTTTCCCTATCAAGTGATTTGCAAAGTTGGCTTCTGTGCCAATAGAAACTTTCCACATCTAAATACAGCGTGCAGAGCAGGATCATTCCTGTTATCATCTGGATCTCCTTCAACTGGATCATTTTTAGATGAGGAGTTTCCATGCTGATCCTGAGAGCAACCCCTAGCCCAGTAGCTGCCTTCCTTGGGACTCTCGGCACTGCCCTCGCCCAGGGATCCCGCACTTGGCCGCAGCTGCCATGCTCTACCTGGTTGCTCTCCTCTTGCACTATCTCCCCTTGGCCATGGGACAGTATGACATTTGCAAGTCCTGGGTGACCACGGATGATGGCCCGTCGTGGGAGTTCTATGCTTGTCAACCCAAGGCCATGCGGATGAAGGATTATGTGACAGTACGGGTGGATCCGGCAGGAATCACTTGTGGGGACCCGCCAGAGAGGTTCTGCACCCACGTAAGTGTTTCCCTCCTTGTTTGACGTGTTAGAACAGACTCTGCTTGCCGGTGGCCGGAGGCAGCGTCCTGCCGAGGTGCTGTTATAAGGACATTTGGGCTCAGGGTGGCAATGGTGGCTGCTGCCTTGAGCTCTCTGTCTCCTGATCTTCAAAATAGGGAGAAGGTGTCCTGCCCATCCTGGTGCTGTGCTGGTGAGAGGTCAGCCCTAGAGCAGGGATGGGGCCGGCATGCTGACAGGGAGCTGAGGAGGGGCGAGGGAGCACTGAGCAAGTCCTGCTCTGGGGTGGCAAGGTCTGGGTTTTGGAAAAGCTCTGCCCCCAGCAAGCATGCAGCCTGAGCAGCTCTGAGCACGTCCCTCTGCTTGCTAAAGCGTGTGGGGTGTGTTCACCAGTCCCATCCCAAGAGGCTGCGCCGGTACTGGGGTTTTGTCAGAGGTGAGTGCATCATCTCAGTGTGAGCAGGGCGGTGGGGGCCAGCATGACCTCGCACGCCGGCAGCTCAGGCAGCCGGTCTGACAGGCACGAGTCTCACTGGAGTCCCTGAAAACACAGCTCTGCCTCTCTTCTAGCCTCCTCGTGAAAAGACTCTCTGGGCAGACGCTTGCCCTTGTAGTTAAAATCTTTAACTTATTTTCTCTTAAATATTAATCATTGCATTTCATTCCCTGCACCACAAAGCTCA